AGGGGCCTCAGGGCAGGGGGTTGGGTGCAGGAGGGGTGCAGGGTGTACGAAGGGGCTCAGGGAAGGGGGTTGGGTGCAGGAGGGGTGCACAGGGATGCGGGGTGCAGCAGGGGGCTCAGGGTAGAGGGTTGGGGTGCAGGAGGGGTGTGGCAGGGGGCTTGTGGCAGGGAGTTGGGGGGCAGGGTGCAGGAGTGGTTTAGGATCTGGGGTGGCAGCAGCACGCACTGGGGCCAGGGCAGGCTTCTTGCATGCCTGCCCTGTCCCTGGCCCCGCGCCCCTCAAGGAAGTGCTGCGGCCCCTGGGAAGGGGGGGCAAAGGGCTCCACGTGTGCTGCCCTTGCCGCGCCTCCAGGTACCTCCCCCGAAGCTCCCATTGGCCGCAGTTCCCCGTTCCCAGCCAATGGGAGCTGCGGGGGGCAGTGCCTGGAGGCAAGGGCCCGGGGGCTGCAGGGACGTTGGGCCGGCCGCTGCTGAGAGCGGTGCGGGGCCCATGGTGCCATGGGGGGCAATCCCATGGGCCGGATCCAAAGCCTTGAGGGGCCAGATCCAGACCACAGGCTGTAGTTTGCTCACCCCGGTTTAAATACACAACAGTTATTTACCCTACATATGAGTTATTAGTTACATTAGTTAATACCACTAAATAATGAATGAATTACTAGGTACCTTGGCTCTTGTGATAAGGCTTGACCCTGTGAGGTGCTGAGTGCCCTCAACTCCCACCAGGTATAGTGAGAGATGAAGTCTTTAACGCCTTGAGGCTCAAACCCCTGAATAAGGGGTTTCCAACCTGGGGTCCGGGAACCCTGGGGGTCTGCAGACTATGTCTAAGATTTCCAAAGGGGTTCGCAACTCCATTAGAAATTTTTTTAGGGGTCTGCAAATGAAAAAATGTTGAAAACCACTGACATAAATGAAAAGGCAAGAAAACAGTTACCCTGTGACTGCACTGTTTTTACTTGGATCAATAGTGACCATAATACCAACGCTTTGCACTGTACTGCAGCTTTCAGCCAGGTTCTCAAAGCTCTTGACAAACATAAGCTGTTTCACAGCGCTCCAGCAGGCAGGTAAATAGAGGCACAAAGCAATTAAGCAACTTGTTCAAGGTCAAACAGTGACTAAGTGACAGATCTGAGATAGGTTTCAGAGTAGCAGCCGTGTTAGTCTGTATCCGCAAAAAGAAGAACAGGAGTACTTGTGGCACCTTAGAGACTAACAAATTTATTAGAGCATAAGCTTTCGTGGACTACAGCCCACTTCTTCGGATGCATATAGAATCACAGGTGCCCTGACTGCAAGTCCCCATGCTTTAGCCAGCAGAACATATTCTTTGCCTTCTTGTTTATGATCATTTGCGTCCTCCATGTTCTGTTAACATGACCATTGGCTACACAATGGTCCAGATCACATCTCTCAGATCAATACACAGGGAAGGACCTCTGCAGAAGGGGATGGAGGTATCATCCACCTCTAAAGTACCTTCCTCCTTCCCTTCCTAGGGGGGAAACTCCTCCCTCTGTGGAGATCTGCATAGAGGGAAGAGCTGGGGGTTGAACAAGCTAGCACAGTAGAGATTACACAGAAAGCGTAATTCAGCTCTAGGCTGTATATCCTTTTCTATGGACCCTCTTCATGCTGAAGAACCCCCTCCATTGAGGGAGGGTGTTCGAGGAAGCCACAGCAGGGGAGCAGCACAGTTATATTGGAACTCCACTGGGGAAGGGATTCCTAGCATAGATGGCTCTGTGATGGTCACTAGTTACCACAGAAATGGCCCTGACATGGAATATGTTTTCCCAGAAAATAAAATACTCTAACAGCATGTCCTCAGCCTTCGGGACGAGTTCATGAGCAAAGTCTATAAACCACAGATATCTGCAGCGTTGCAAGTTAGAACGTAGCCTTGTATTCACTAGTAAGCAGGGGTCTCTCCTGGGACTTGACTTCCCTCTCTGACACCTCAAGGCCCATTCAGACGATCTCCTCAGGTTTTTATAGCTGCCCTTCTGGCAGTAGCTCACAGGGATTACCTCTCGCATCCTCGACTGCCAGACTTCGATGAACTCCGGTGAAGTAGCATTCACCTGGCTGGCATTCTGCGTCCACGCAGGGCATCTCCAGTTAGGGAGGGAGAGCATGGCAAGGGTAGGAGTCAAGAACGCAAAAGTCCCTCCTTGGAGAATGGGCAACCTGGAAACAAGCCAGAGGGCAGAGAGTTAAGCTATTTGATCTCTGGAAGCCCCATCCCTGTCAGGGGAAAGTATTTGGTTAGTAGTACTGTCTTCCTGCAGTGAGATACAGAAAGGATATTTCAGAGTAATTGACTTGGGTGAACGGGGTGGATCAGTAAGCACCTCAGCATGCAGAGAGTCAGTGGAAATCCATAGGTCTCAGCAGAGACCTGACAACAAAGAGGTGTCTTAAGCCACCTTTATTATTTCAAAAGGGGGATTCGGCCTCTCTCATGTTTGCCTTTGGCAATTTCCTTTTCAATACACTGATGTTTCTGTGAACCCTGTCACCAACAATACCCAAGAGCCAGTATGTATTTTGACACAATAGTAGTACCCCAAGCATTGGGAAATGCTGCTTCTGGACTCAAACTTTGGGTCCCTCATCCCTATCTGCGGCACTGTTTTTAAGGAAGGAAAACAGCCATCTTAAAGCATGTGTCTGTATGTTTCGGATCAGGTCTTTGTGCTACAAGATGGTAAAAGAACAAGGGAAGAGAGAAGAGAAAAGGGAAGGAACCAAAGCAAAGAAAGAGTAACTGACTGACAGAAGTTTGTGGCTAAATGTGAAGGGGCAGAAGGGGAAGTTCTAGGAAACAGCAAAAGGGAGGGGAAAGAGACCCAATCTGAGACTTAAATAAGGGGCCTGATTCTCCGCAAACAGGCTACAAGTAACTCACAGTGAAGCTGTGATCTACTGGAGGGGGCTGCTGAGGGTCCCTGGTTAAAATTCTGCCACCAAATTGAAGGCATGTTGGAGTGATGGCCCTTGATGCAGTCATCCCCTCTGAACGCGGTTTGTCACGTCTCCAAAGTGCAGATTGCACCAAGTCCAGATTTCTCTGAAAAGGTTTCCAGTGTTGCAACTCTCACCATTTTATTGTGTTAGCTGGGATTTTTCTTAAAAGCCCAGTTTCGGGGATCAAGAGACTGCCTGAAAATATCAGCTTTCATTGCGTTTCTGACCCTCACAGTTGCAGAGAAAACCATGGAAACATGAAGTAAGTGCACTCTAAAGGCTCAGAAAGCCAGAAGGTAACTAAATGATCCTCAATTTAAAAAAAACAAAACACAAAAAAAACCCCTTGTGATTTTGGCAGGGCTGACATGATTTTTGAGTGTGTGGGGCTGGCAATATTGCATTTCCTAGAGGAGGATGCCACTACCTCACCCAAGAACTCACAAGGGTTTCACTCCCAACTAGCATATAATTAATTCTTTGGCCCCTCAAACCTTCCTCTGCAATACCCACACTTCTGTCCATTTAAGGTACTTATGTGGCCCCCATTATTGTAGTATCTGAGCTCTTCACAATCCATACTGTATTCGTCCGCACAACAGCCCTGTGACGTAGGGAAGTGCTATCACTGCCATTACTCACATGGGGAACTGAGTCACAGAAAACATTAAGTGGCCTGCCCAAGGATCCCCAGAGTCTCAGACTAGAGCCCTAGCCACTGGACCATTCTCTGTATACTTCTGGCCCACAAGGCTTATCAGAAGCTAGAAGGGGAGACGTGTTGTGGTATCTGCACATGATTGCATCAAAGTGAATGGAAATTATTTGTACCCTGAAGTGGGAGAGGAAAACTGAGCCCTTCATCTCTCACGTAGCAATGCCAAGTGATAACACAGGGCTTCCAGGCTGGCCTAAATGCTCCAATCCCCCCCCACACACACACTATAGTTTTGAATAAATAATAGTACTTTGCCTTCTATAATGCCTTTCAACTTGGGATCCATACTTTACAGAGATTAAACAATCGTCAGCCTGACATACTACACAATCAGCTTAATCTTTTTTTACGCCTTTACCACCTACATTAAATTGCCTCCACAGGGACTTCATTTACATGCCAGTGGGATACAGATGCTCTCTCCTTAAATCAGACCTCCCTATTCTTTTATCCCCTCCCCACCCTTCAGCCCCTTCTCCAAGTTTTATTACCTTGTTATCCCACAGAACAAGGTTGTATCCACACTGAGCTCTTTCTGAAAATCGCCCACTGATGCTGCAGCACCAGTCCAGGTACCTATTGTGGGAGCATTAGCATACACTGGGCTCAGGGAGTTTTACTACCATGTCATTATATAATGCTGCTTAGAGCAGGTCTTGACGTGATATAAATGCTCTGTAGCCCACCCCACCCCCCCGGCATGGCTTAAGCCCTCTTCTCTCCCTGGTGCTTGCTAAGACCAATATTTGGAGCAGCTTCTCCCCTCTTCTTGAACAGATCAGGTCCTGGGTTCTTCTTCTTGGCTCATAGTGCCTCAAGTGATTCCTTGCTGTGCCAGAGACACAGGGGCATTGTTCCTTGATACATTAATGGCCATGTTTGTAGCTGGCAAGGGGTGCCAAGCTCAGTTCACAGGAGACAAAGTAAATAAAACAAACGTCAATGAAATAATACACACCAAACGTAACCCTATAACTGGAAAGGAGAGACAGGAAAATAGAACCTGGTGAAGGAAGGGATTAAAAAGGTTAACTAATACTTAACCAACGTTTGTAATTTAACCAACTCCCCACCTCCTAACACTCACAAACTTTTCCAACCCGCCACTTCCTACCTAGCACCTTCCCCAGGTGATAGGCCAGGGCTGAACATCCTGGGATTCTGTGTCATAGTGCTGGATCATTGGCCTGCTTTTAAATAAACGTCATTTTTCTCCACCCCTGGGTGGGGCAGGGTCCTCTATCAACTAGGATCATCTGTTCTCTGGTCTGGAATCCTCCTGTGGTCTCAGCTGGCTCTCAGTAGCTGGTTGAATCTTTCCCTGGTGGATTCTCATCACTGCAGTGCTGGAAATACCTAGTCCATGCAGCTAAAGACTCAGAGCTGTACAAACTCCCTTCAGGGAAGTGGGAATTTAGCAGGGACGCCCTGAGCCATGTCGCATCTTTCTCAGCTTCCAAACAGAAAAACTGCAGCCCTGACTTGATATCGGTTCAGTGGCCTGCTCATCCAGATCATGCCATGCAGAAACCTCCTTACCTGGTCCCTAGAGGCTCAGCCCAGAGGCCCAGGGGCCAGGAAACCACAAAATAAGGTTATG